ATCTTATGGGATTAAAATTATATTTTAGATATAAAAAAGGAATTCAAAAAGATACTTACCTTTACTACTTATATCATGCTGCAGGAAATATTCTTGGTTTGTCAAGAATTAGACCTAGAAATTACTTTGCTTTCTACCTCCTTCATTTTCCTCACTTCCTCCATTTGCAATCTGTATTCTAATAAAATCTCAATTCTCACATAGTTCACACATCTCATCAGATGCTCACATCCTCAATCATGATAATGTTATCCATTCACATGGTAACACATCCATAAATGGCTCACACAATATCTTCTACAATCACATTTTCTTGCCAAATTCCCATTGCGAGAGGTCATAGGGAATGTAACAGAACAGGAAAGTAGTCTTTCAAATTTCATTTGGTTCTGAAATGTTCACTTCAAATACCTTTCTTTGTCATTATTGTGCTAAAATCCAAACATATATGTGAAAGTAGGATTGAAGCAGCAGAAATGCCCCTGATTCTCCCAGTGAAATAGACTGAAGGAGATGCCAGTAGACATAACGTGGGTAATTTGACATACATATGAAGAAATGACAAGTGTCACACTTGGGAAAAAACTTGAACATTTTGGCTCATAAATGTTGAAAGATTAGTACAAACATACAGGAGAAAAAGCTTTAGTCAAGAAATTAGGACAGAAGCAGTTCACTCTTACTGGTCAAACATTTATATGTAATGAACAATTTACATTAAGAGTGAACTTGCCCTAACTGGACATAAAGCATGATCTGAATCAAATCTACCATTTCCTATGGGTAATCTCTGTGATATAATAGGAAGACAAGCAATGACCTTCCATTACACAAGTCTTCAGCCAAATTTCTCTGTCAATAAAGGTATACCATTTCCCTAGAAAATGGCATCAAATATATTATGATGTTATAAATGTGAGAATGCTGCACAGTAAACCAAATAAAAGAAAATAAGTCTTTCAAGATGAAAAACAGTGGTAACAGCTGATTATTGGTTCAAAGGGCTCCTATACCAAAGCATAAGCATTAGAAAAACATTTCACGAAAGAAAATTTATAGAATAATGAGGTCACAATACACGGAAGGATCAGTATAACTTCAAAACAGCTCTTCTTGAGAAACAAGCTGGTCACAAAAGGTTAATGAGTGGCTCAGGACTTCCCAGTAGCCCTATAAAACCAAGAGAGAGCAATAAATGCTATAGAAAAAACACACAAAGTAGGAAACTCACCTAGTCCTGCATGAAATCATCTATTCCCAGGAAAAAGAGGAACTGAAAGCAAAAACAGGGGAAGAGAATACCAGAAAAAGATCCCAATTGTGCAAATTATTGGAGGGCTCTCGGATTTGAAACAAATGTCAAAAGGTATGTGAACAAAGCAGTCATTCCACTGACAAAAACTCCATTTGGGCAAGAAAACTGATCCATAAGAAGATTCATAATGCAAAGCTTAACTCAGTGTGGCAAATCTAAATCACCTTTAATTTGCCACAAAGAAATTCATTATTACGTTTTAAAGTAATCTTGACAACAAAGAAGCCACTGAAAGTATCACATCAAAGCACATGGTACAATCAATTAGACACTTTATTGAATGTAAATTTTAGACCTGTGACAATTTTTTTGACAGAAAATTTAAGGAATCTTTTTGATTCAATCTAGATGCCCTTCCATTAACAGGTAGAATGCCTGGCCCCTATAATACTCTTTTTTCAAATCTTTTGCTTTCATTTGTTTATTTTTAACTTTTACCATTATGATCAGCAATCATTTAACAATACTTTTAGTACACTTCACATGTACTGTTCCCTTATATTGTTACAGTTATATTTACTTTTCTGTTACTCTAATTTAAAATCAGTTTGGTACCTGTGACATTCACTGACCCTTGAAAAATGTGTAAGCCAAAATGCTGGATTGAACATATTAACTTTTATCTGAAGTTGTTTGTCGTCTTCACCCACACAAATTAATATATATAATACTAAGACCATCAAATGAACTGTCAACACAGTTTAATATTTTTGTGGCTTAATTTCCCATTCGCCTTTACCGCAAATGCCTAAGGTTATCTATTTTTTACACTGGAACTTTTTTCTTGAGACACCAAAGTGGAAATTTTATCTAATCAGAGATAGCCTTACTCAGGTCAAATCCAAGTTCCATAAAAATGACATCCCATGCTCCAAGAAAACATAAGTTAAAAGAAATCAAACAAATATCTTTTTTTCCTGTCAGTCCCAGAAAAGAACAATAATGATAACGATCCAGGCATGCAGAAAATCAAGTTTGATCATGACTACTCGAAAACTGTTAAGGCACAATAGTTCGTGATTACATCAAGACTTTGTCAGAGCTTTCACTTCTTACAGACCAGAGCATGTTTAGTAAAAGTTTACAGTACTGCCACATACATTTTTGTGTAAAACAGTATTGATGATTATTGCCAGTGCAATGCTACATACTAGTAGTCATTGTGTTTATGTCAAGTCTTGTTCTTGTATTAATTTACAACATGAAAAGTTCCTGAATATAATACTTCTTGTCTTTTATATATATATATATGTAAATGTATTATATTTGAGGTACTATAGTAGTATAACGAAGTTGGGAATGTAAGAATGATAAATTTGAGGCATCTGTTATCAAAGCAACCACACCATCAACATTTATACTACATATATATATATATATTCAACAGCTTTAATATACACACTAACATAAGTATAATACTTCTAATACAGATTTCATTGCATTAGTCAAAGTGGCTAAAGGATTTATATGGCAAGAGTGAGCAGAGCAACTATACAAAGAATATCTCAAACAGAAGACAAATCTGCAAAGAGATTAAAATGTGATGTTACTTTCTAGGGTACTCACTGAGTAAGTTGGTCTTCAAATGCCCATAACCAGTCCAAAGTTCCCAAAAATAATACCACTCAAGTCAGCAAGTTGTCTGAAAATATTTTCTACAGAAAAGACAAGTCCTATACTATTTGAAATTGGCAGTTCTTATTCAACATATGGGACTGGGAATACCAGGGATCCAATAATAGAAAGTATATGGTGAGTGAAAGAGGTCTGCTTTCGCCAAAAAAAGGTAAGCTTTTCACATATTTGATAAAGATAAGCAGATGTGCAAAATGAATGATCTACAAATCAGAACAAAGTCAGACTTATGCATATTGATTATCTCCATTACCACAGTGAAAAACTTCTGGAAGTATCCCTTGGCAAGACAGAGGAGGCCAATCATCCGATTAATGATAGAAGTCAATATCCAGCTAATGAAACCATGCTGCCACTGAGTTCGTAAGTCAGATGAAGATGTAAGGGGCCTGGAACAATCTTAAAGGTAAGAAACTCAAAATGAAATATCCAATCTCCACTGACAAAATAGAGGTACCTTTGACATTGAAGTGCTTAAGCACAAGAAAGTATTCATTTAACACAATTAATTAGAACATTCATTGGTTCATCCATGTGTGGTACAACATGAGAAGAAACAGTTCCATATTGAAATGGTCTGTTGCAAGATAGGAATTCAGAAAGGACAGACTGATGAACAGTCTTGAAACCCAAGAATATTTATGAACAACAAAAACTGATTAATACAACACAGAGAATGAAGCCCATCATTCTTTAAAAAATCATGCAAAAAGGTGAGAGAGGATCTCTTAGTGTAGAATGAATCCTTGTCCATGAGAGACAAAATTGAAGAAATAAAAGAAAACTCCTTCCATTAAAGAATAAAACTTACCAGCATTTCTCCCACCAACAATGATACCAGAACCACCACCAAATAGCAGATGCAGTCAATAACCATGACTGGCTCATAAAAAAAATGTTGGGAACCAAATTTCATTAAGTGAAATAGCTATAGTTCCTTGTGTTACTTCATCTGACTTTTAACACAGTAATGTAAAGGGAAAAGGAGCGTATAAGTAAAAGCCAGAAGAAATAAGTTCTGTCAGGAAAGATTTGGAGTGATTTTTAAACCCACTAAAATATCCATAAAGACATACAAGACAAAGTAAGGTATCTGAAGCACTTCCTGAATGAAGAGCCTTGTAGAGAAATATGTAAAAACATAACAGCCAGTGTCCAAGGTTCTCACAGAGTATGGCCAAGTCAAAAACAACAAAGCATGTAAATAAGCTGAAGACAGATTGTTAGAAAAAACAAAAGCAGGAATGGACACCAACTTGTACTAAAGAAATCAGGGTGTTAGCAGAAAGTCATAGCCAATAAGATGTGCTGATAATGAGAACCTCATGGAATAGATCATTAAGTAATACAAGTGTCTGACATGCCAAAATAAAATGCAATCAGAGAAGATATCTATGTGAGCCAAGAAAAACACTATTTAGATAGAGGGCATAAGAATACATGTAAATCTTGTGAGAATTGAGATCTTATGATAAAACAGATTGCAATTGAAGAAAGCTAGGGAACAGAGGAGGTGAAGAAAGAGAGGAAATTTGTACATCAAATTCTTGACAAAACCAAAATATCTAGCATGATAATGCTGTAGTAGAGATAATATCATATTTGAAAGTAGGAGTAATTAATAACTACTGTTGTAAAGTAAACATTGTTATGTTATCTTTCATTCTTTATTACAAATGTTGCTAAGCTATAAGGAAAAATTAAATATATAACAGTGATTAATATATCTGAAATTATTTGGGAGATAATCCCTACATTATACTATAAATGTTATGGATGACTTCAGCTTCGTAAATGTAGATATAATAATAAGCTTCTAATCAGATGTTTTAGGACCATTTCTTTTAAGAATGAAAAATATTAGTAAAAGGACACTAAATTACCACATTAACACAAATAAAAAAAGCATATTTTTCAAAGTCACAATAAAAAGAAAAATAAAAAAATTGTGCAATTAAGGGAACAACTGTATATCTTATTAAAACTACACATATACTCATGACTTAAAAGAACTGATTTATTTAGATATAAGAAATATAGATTTCCTTACCAATTTCACACTTAAAATGTTCATTGATAGGAAAAGCTTTTTCCACAGAGAGATCAGCTGTACTTGTTACATTGGGTTTTGATGATACAAACACAAGTAACCTAAACAAAATGTCAACATTAATGTAGAAGTTTCTCATATCTATATTTTTAACAATAAACAAATGTAAAATTTAGTAACAAGTATCTGTACCTGACAAATAAATTCAAGGTTCATTACACTAATATATAAATGTGTATTACATTTACCAAGCATGTGAAGAAAACAAGTAAGAATTAGCACAAACAAAAATATTTACTTTCATCAAATATAATGAAAATAAAATTATAATTCCTTACCCATGCTCATTATTATTTTGTACCAAGACCAAAATCCTACTTGTCTTTACCCAGTCTCGCACCAGGCCAGCTTCTATAGACTTCTAGATATCAAGGACAAATGAAAATAGTGTGCACATACCATATAAATTAATCTTCATATGGAAGTAAACAATATGAATGTGCATGGTTTTCTAACCTCTATCATTATCTTTCTGTATACTTAACAAGTGAAAAACTGATAGATGTCTTTTCACAGTTTAACATTACAGGGAATAATTTATTCAGTATCACATCTCACTTTGTGATCCATCTTGGGTCTATTTGCAATTCAATTGTACCATTTTGTAGCACAAACTGTGATACAATTCCTTTATGGTGAACATAGCAATTCATACAAAAACTTTAAAAGTACTTCCACTAAAAATGCTCAAAGACATTTTTAACATTTAAAATCAGTTTTCTGTAATTACTGTTGATCAATTGGCTTTTGATTTCGTTCAAAGTTTGATGCTTGGCAAAACTGCAGTACTGATGTTCAACTTACATATGCATCCCAGATCCAACATTTTTTTTAATTATCCAAAAAAAGACATGTTTTAGATAGAAAAATATACAAGTAGGACTAGTGGGTAAAGGCACTGAACAGCAGCATTTTCAAGGTTACAAATTCATATAAATATTAAGTGTGGTGTTAAAATATTTCTTATAGTACTTGAACATTTTTCTCAAACTTCAAGCAATTGAATGCAGTATTTTTTTCTAGATTACACATACCCGAGACAGTGTAACAGCCACATGTTATGCAGAATTTATCTAATTTTAATACAGTTGTTTTATGTAGCAGTTGCTGCAATGTAAAATTTTAGAAACAAATTATCACCAGCAATATATTTTCACATACTGTTTATCCTAACACATAGTTTCAATAGCAAAAAATCTTTGTTCCAAGATCAGTTTTTATGATAGGTATAAATATTTCTAACAAGTTTGTTAACCTAATGTAAAAATTTTAAAATTCACATCAAAAAATGACACTAGCACAGAAAAAATGCAAAAATAAAATATACATCTAGAAAACAGCAGAAATAATACAGAAATGTGCATGTGTATACACTTCATGTATTCAAATTTATAAACACTAAATAATCAACACATTTTTATTGAAGTAAGGATACAGTCACACATTTTGCTTGGGAACCTAGAAATCCCTGGATGGCAGAAACTGTTTGCTGATCCATCATGATAGCAGCAGGTAACATATATCACCTTGTTTTTTGAAAATTCAATGATGGTCACATTTCTAAAAAAATAACAACATATATTTCTATTATTTTAATCCTAGAAATATGGATAACATTTCTGTATAGCTGAATGGAAGAAACAATCATATGAAACAAGTAGATGACTGACAGGCAGTAAGCCCATCAAAGTTGCCTATAAATATCACAAACTACAAGAGAAATGAAAAATCATAACTGATTTTATTCATAGGTAAATCAGAACTTATACTTCAGTATATTTCCAATAGGTACTTTCCTCCTCTCATGTGGATAGCTATTCTTGTTTACTACTGCCCTCTATATGCAACAATTTTTTTGCATGTCACAAGCCTTGATCTTCCACATACCCCATGATCAATGTGGATCAACTGCATCTCACATGTAAATCACCATGTGACAACCTTCACCAACAGAAGTATGACACATCCTTCTTACTCATTCAACTCCCTCTATTAGATTCTACAAAACTATCACTTCGAGATTAATCAGAAAAGGAAACCTCAGTTTTCAGTGGGGAGGACGGGTGGGAAGTGTGAGCGGATGTAATTATCTATCAGAAATATATATTCAGTATAAGAAAATAATAGCTTCCAATATAATACATCACCTCCTCTCACATGGAATCCCACATCGAATAGGCAGAAGGACTTGTGCGAAGGATAGAAAGAAATATCCTTTGAAAGCATACAAAGAACACTTCTGAAGTGTGATACCCATTGAAAGAAACACACGTGGGAGACCACACCATTTCTGTACCAGGTATATTCTGCACCCACTGTGAAAAGAGGTGTTGCATACACGGGTGGAAAGTGATAAGAGCACAACCAAAAAGGGAGAGAAATCTGGGTGGGTTGGAATCCAAACCACAGTATACCAGAATCTCAATCCCATAAAAGAAAGACTGTAGAAGAACCATCAACAGACAGGAATGTTGGAAAAGCTAAAATGGATGTTCTCCAAGGTGTAGAGTGGCTAGGGCACAACAGACCAGACACAGCCAGTCCACTCCAGTCCAAAATCAAGCAGTTTCAGGAATAGAACCTCCAACCTGTGGTACCTGGAGGGTCCACACAGTCTTCACTTCCAGTAAATAAAACAGAAGTTTATACTGTGCAAAGCTTTCTAAGAAATGGGCACATGTGTGCAAATCCACAACCAACCATACATCTGAATGACAGTAGAAGAAATGTGCCAATGTGGAAGGTCACATCAAACTCAAACAGACTGGCACCCCACAGCGCAACATCAGCCTCAAGCAGTGAAAACTTCCTGAAGTGGAATGCAAGAGGAAGAACTGTCACCCCAATCAACATTATCCTCCAGATAGAACCACACAGAAGCTGGAGCACAACGTCACATTCCGGGTCCCATCACATGGAAGTGAATCACATCTAGAAAACATACGCAACCACACAGAAGCTGGGTGCAACATCATCTTCCGAGGCCCACCACACAGAGGTGGAGCACATGGTTGGAGGATCAAATGCCATCTACACCAGTAGAACACCACTGCTCTACTCTCAACTGAATGGAAGTGATCACATTCAGGAGAACTTCTCCATGGTCCATCACCCTAGTGGCTTGGAGCTGGAAAGTGGCAATTAACTCCTATACACCATTAAAAGAACAAAGTGGGACAAAGTACATTGGAGAGTCTGGAAGAACACAGTCAACAGAGACAGTGCAACAGGTGACCATGAAAAACAGATTACCCTTGATTTAGTCAATCAAAGGGATGGCAGAGATAAGCAGTTATTCCCCTTCTGTTTTACCAGTGTAAATCCATGGGTTAATATGGTTGGAATTGGTATATCTGCGAAACAAATATATTGCTAGGAAAACCTACTACCAATCTTGTGGAATACCCCATCTCAACAGTGTGCATCCTTGGTCATTGTTATAAATCTTGGCCATACAGTGCAGATTTGAGAGATAGGAAGTATACCTGGACAGTCAATGCTCACCACTGAGTGGGATCCTAATCCTAAATGAGACATGCCATTGGAGGGAAAAAATATATATGTATCAAAAAGATAACTGACCCACTCACACCCACACTGAAATATGAAGGATGATGACAGGCTAAAGACGGTCCCTCGATGAGGAAGAAACAGCTACCAATGAAGATAGTGGGAGATGAATGTATGAGGTATAGTCCACATGCCTCACTGAAGAATTTCCTCCAATGGATGATTGAGGTGAGATGCCAGGGAAAAAATAAGGTGGCTGATCTGATGCGACAACACCTGGAACAGAATCTGGGAAGAGACAGGGAGGAACAGACCAATCGAATCAGTTGACGAACCCAACTTGGAAGAGAAGGGGGAGAAGGAGAAAGGTTCACATACCAGGGAATGAAAAGGTGGGAATGGGAACCACTAAAGTAGACCGTATAGGCAATGTAACAACAAAGAGCACATACTGGACATAGAATTCTTTCCGGATCAGGAATTATAATGTTCGACCACAAAGGAAACAGGAACAGATGCCCCCTTAATGATTGATATAGGCCACAACAGTGGAATTGTCTGAATTGAGCAGGACGTGTCAGTTCAGTACCAGAGGAAGAAAATGAGCCAGAGCATGTGATACCACCAGAAGTTCCTAGATGTTTATATGGTAAGACATTTCGATTTGAGACCATTGTCCAAAAGTTTTCTGCTGATGTACCCACACACCCCAACTTTGGAGAGAAATACCTGTGAGAAGATGCAAATCTGGACGAGGTGGAGGAAGCAGTACTCCCATCATTGTATTGTCCTTGTTCAACCGTCAATGCAGTTTGTCTGCTCCCAACTTGACTTAATCATCACTAACGAGCTCGATGATTAATTTGCTGGGAAGAAAAGGAAAGTTGAAAAATTGAAATCAAAAGACATGAAACTGGAGACTAAGTTGAGGTACAATGGTGTAAGGTTGAGTTTGGGACAGTGTAAAAACTAAGGACGAAAGCAAGAATTGATGACAGGCAACCTCAGCCCATTATTCTGGGCAAAGAAAGATGGTCAAGCAAAGATCTCATACAAAGGAAAAAGGAAGTGCAACCTGGGGAAGGAAAATAACCCTATCAAACAATTACCAGCAACAAAGAGCCTAGTGAGCATGGAAATGGTAGAAGTGAAATGGGCCACAGTGGAGAAGTGAATGAGAATCACCCAAAAAATTCTCTGGACCATGATGGAGTGTCTCAGACATGAGGTGTAGAAAAGAGAGGTAAAGAAGTATGGTAAAAAAAGGATCAGGCAAAGATGGAATTATTGAGCATTAGAAGGCAAAACAGACTAAATAGTCTGCCCCCAAAAAGAACAGGCAAGGGAAATTCCAAATGTGGAAATCGAGAAAGGTAATTCAGAATGACTATAATTGAGGATATAAGAATCAGATAGATGGGAGGGCGAGGCTTGAGGTTGCAGGAACATAGTTGCTCAAGGAAAGGTAAATAAAAATTAGATGAGGTTAGCATTAAGAAGTAGGGAATAAGAAGAATATGACATAGAGAAAAGAAAAGGAATGGTACATAACTATGAAGTTAAGTCCTGATAATGCAAGAAAGTTTTAGGTTTCTTTTCAATAGGAAGAGAAGTTCCCAAAGCATACCCAGGAGGAGTAAACAATCAACTTCATCTTCCTCATTCTTCCTTCAAAATGAGGGCAAGAAATGCCTGAAGAAGGGACTGTAACTGAAGATCATGGCTGCATAAGGGAACCCACTAACCTAAGCACAATGGCCATCAAGTCACCCCCCATTCAATGTGCCTCCATAAGCCATAGTGTGAGGAAATTATTACTCACACAAGTAGTAGATGTTACATGAACTAGTGAGTTCTTAATTTGTAGAAAAAAAAGAAGGAAATTAAGTTCCTTAAACATTGTAAATCTTGATAAATTGAAAAAGAAAAAAACATGTCTGATACATACAGAGCCATGGAAAAGAATGAAGGTTCATGTATGCAAAAGTATGGAGAGAGTTATATCCCTTTCTTATTGATGGAGGGCTTTTGCTGCATTATAACATCATTATGCAGTAGCACAATTCACGAGAAATCTCATGAGATTAGGTGGGAGTTGCCTAAAGGCTAGTGGCATGCAAATCACTAAGGCAGATACACAGGGAAGAGAGCTCAACTGTGTGAAGAGGTGTGTATCATCTTAGAATGGATTCTTTGGCATGTGATCAAGTTATAGACACCATAATAGAGATGGATATGAAGAACAAGATGCAGAAAAGTAGATGTATGTCTTTAATGAAAGTTATACCATTTATGATGAAACTGGTATCCATTAAAGCTGCAGATAAACTATTAATGGCACCATCTAGAAGTTACAGGAATATCAGATACTCTAGAACAGAAAAATCATTTCTCCCATTGATATTTGAATAAGAATTGAAAGTATCAATTATACAGCTAGTTAAACAGATCAGAGAAAATAAACCATACAAAAACAAGTATTTCAAGTGTAATTTGAGGAGACATATTGCTAAGAACTGCAGGTAACGCCTGTATGAAATAAGAGTTCCTCTCAAAGGATACCATACAGGAGTAACTGTTATAAATGTAGGAAAACTTTAAGATATCAACAACTGTTATTAAGCCAAACCAGATCAAAGAAACAACAAAGAGCTAATAATAGATTAAGAAAACAGGAATTAGTTGGATTTATGAGCTGAAATTCAACTGAGAATATTTTATCTCAAATGAGAAAAGAAGTTCATCACGTGTAAGAGCATGAAAAATCACATTATTCTCCCAGTCAGGCATAGAGTATGACAAGGAGGGTCGGTAAAGAAGGAAGGATATGAACAAAGTGGAGGGGACGATGGAAAAAAAACCTGACAGTAATGGGAAATGTGAAATGTTGAAAAAATTATGTAACTCTTATTTTCCTCAATTTGACCTGAAAGTTATTTTTAAATCTAATTTCAAACTAAAATTTTTTTCTGCTACAACAAAGATTGTGTGCCAACTAGACATTGTTCACATCTCTATTTAAACATGTGTGGAGATTTTAGGGCCTCTTATGTTGGTGAAACCAGATGGCACCTTGAGGTACGAGCATTTGAACATATGGGTATATCTATAAAACTGGAAGAAAGGTTACAAACACTTAACTCCACTATCTACCAGCATAATATAGAAACAGGGCATCCAATTTCTCTCTCCAACTTTAATATTCTCTCAACAGCTAAACATGATACAGAATTTCTAATAAAAGAGACATTATACATAAAAACTCTTCTTCTATCTCTAAATAATACACATTCTTCATTTGATTTAACTCTATTTAATTTAACTATTTCATTTGTGTTACATATTTTTATCTTTTTTTTTCTGTTATACTTTTTTTATTCCAATTGTTTACTTTTTACATATTACACATTATATCATATTTCTGTTGTAATTACAACTGTTTTTTTTTCTACCTCTAAATTACTGAAGATGAAATTTGGAAAATCCTGAAATGTTTAATAACTGCTTCGTATAATTACGTTCATGTTTTGCTTTATTATCATTATGTTTTACAAAAAATGAATCAATTACTAGATAAGATATGATTTCACAATAATTCTATGTTTGTGGACAGAAATATTGGGTGTGGTTTTTCATGAGATTAAAATTGATTAAATGGCCCCCTCCGAGCAATTTTGTGTTGGTCCAGAAACATTTTCATGAATTATGAAAATATGAAATAAGATTTCACAAAAACTTCATTATTTACACATGGAAATAAATACCAGAATTTGTTAGTATGGTTTTCAAGGCAATTGGAACTGATTAAATGGCCTGTCTGAGCACTTTTGTGTTGCTCCAGCAAATTTTGATGAATTATGAAATATTATTTCACAATAACTTTATGTTGTGTATGTGGACAAAGCATTGGGTGTGGTTTTTAAGGTGATAAGAGTTGATTAAGTGATCAATCCAGGAACTTTTGTGTTGGTGCGGCAACATTTTTATGAATATGAAATATTATTTCACAATAATTTTTTGCTGTGTATGTAAACAAAAAAACAAGAAAACATTGAGTGTGGTTTTTTAAAGCAATCTGAGTTGATTAAAGACCAAAGCAAATCTCAGCACTTTTGTGTCCCTCATCAGAACTACCCATGTACATTATTCCCCCAGTATCTTGACAGAATTAAGTTATTAGGGCCTCTTTCTTTAAATGCCTTTATTACAACCTTGTACTTGACAATAAACTCCTCTGACCTGCCCTTCCCTACATCATAATAATTAGTCCATACATATGTTGACTGCAAAATACATTTCATTGTACTGGATAAAAGCTTGGTTTGCATTCACCTCCAACTTTACCAGTTCAGATGGCATGACACATCCTCCACAGATTTAAGAAAGACAACAGAAAGTTGGGCTCAAGCCCATAGGCTCAGAACTCACGGGAATTTTCGGCATTTGTGTCTGCTTTCAACCATGGTTTTCTATTCTGATTTTTCAAGACACCAAATGGGGATTTGGGACACAGGTGCCATGTGCCAACACCTAGTAACACCTCTGAGAACTTGTAAAATATAAAGAACACACATGCTGATGATAACATAAAAAATTAAACCACAAAAATTTTAAATAATTATTAATTAATTTTAAAATTTGGTAATTTTAAATTTTATGCAAATTTACTGTTTACTTAATTTTGGAACCTTTTGTGTTCCTTTTCTTTTTTGTCCTCATTGTCCCTCAAATATTACGATTATCGTTATGTTGATTAATCAAAACTTCATAGAGTAATAGTATTATTACTATTACTAAGTATTAGTATTACTTATTTATTAGTAATAGTAATACTAATGTGACACACTCTCGCACGAATCTCCCAGTCTACATGACACTGAAAAGTAGCAGCAACTTGATCTGTAATTATGACCTAACTTGCAAGTAACTTACATTATTATTATTAGCTAGACTTGGCTAAAATAATGCAAAAACATACAGAATATCATATGAACTATATATACATACTAGTAACAGTAACATTGATAGCCTTACCTGCTCATCTTCGCTTGTTACATACTTCAAGCGCCATCTGTAATAAATAGATTCCACAAACTTTTTGTTTTTAAGGAATATTTAAAATTAGAACTACGCTTTATTTCAATAGAACTGTTTAACTAATGTTGTTGTTTTTACCTGAGTCTTTGACACTATATTTATGTATGTTGAAGAATATGCTAAATATTGATGTAAAGGCAAAGAGATCTTAAGTAGAAGATGAGGCGGTATAATTTTGTTACGACAGCATAAGTCACATCACGCTGCTGGGACGTTGGCGCTGGTAGCGTGCGTGATAAGTTTCTCGAATGATTAGGGAAGTCCGAATGTGTTCGAGATGCCCTCTTCGTTAGTACATAAGCCTGGTAAAGAAAGCCAGCATATATGAATAAAGAGAGAGCAGTAGTTACTTTGAGTTCCGTGTAATTTATGATTCTGTTAGTTTCGAGCTAGTGGGCTGTAAAGTGTGTGTTTTGCACTCGTCCAGAGCGAAATTATCGAGATTGTGAATTGCTGTGATTTATAGCAATTTATTATAAAAAGTTGTTAATTTTAAAGGGTTGAGAAACGTACTGAATGTGGAACTTCTGTGCACTTAAAGTTTGTCTCCAGGAAGAATAAACTGGTTTAATCAAGAAAGGACTTGCATAGCTGAAGATCGTCGGGAAGAATTTCTACCGGAAACAAACAAACAAGCAGATAGGTAATAAACTGGTGTCAGAGATTGAGGCGGAAAAGAAAAATAATATGGAAACGAGAAGTGGCAAATTAAACGACAACTTAGCAGATTGGATGGCAGCAATACAAGAACAGCAAAAGAAACAAGAAGAATGACAAAATAAACAAGAAGAGAGACTACAGCAGTGGTTGAAGGATAAAGAAAAGACACAAGAAGAATAACAAAATAAACAAGAAAAGAGACTACAGCAGTGGTTGAAGGATAAAGAAAAGACACAAGAAGAATGAGAAAAGAAACAAAAACAGAGATTACACCAGTTATTGGAGGAAAAAGAAAACAACCAAGAAGAACGAGAAAGGAAACAAGAAGAGAGACTACAGCAATGGTTGGAGGAGAAAGAAAAGAAACTAGAAGACCAAGAAAATAAACGAGAAAAGAGACTACAGCAGTGGTTGGAAAAGAAAGAAAAGAAACAAGAAGATAGGCTACAGCAGTGATGGAGGAGAAAGAAAATAAACAAGAAGAGAGACTATAACAATGGCATGAAGAACAAGGAGAGGGAGTACAACATCATCATGAAGTACAAATGGAAAAGATTGGTAAATTTCACAGTAAATTAAATACATTAAAGGGCGATTTACTGTCTTTTACACAGAGAATATATATTAGCCATGGATCTAATCAGCCGCAGATAACAGGAAGCCCCTTCCATACCCTGCAGCTAAACCCTAATGCAGACATCTTCAGTCCTACCAGAAGTCTCATTCCAGACATGAGTGTCAGCAATAGGGGTGATCTAGTATGAAGAAAGCCACAGGAATTCGATGGGAAGGGACCATGGGAAGTGTGTAGTGCACAATTTGAGCTCCTGGCAGAAATGAATGGATGGACAGAGAAGCAGAAAGCAGTGCACCTGTCAACGAGCTTGAAGGGACAACCACTGGAAATAATTGGACAGTTGTCAGCAGATGACAGGCACAACTATAGAGCACTGGTAGCTAGATCACAAAGGAGTACCAGAAGCCCAACAGAAACTCTGTGGTGTGACAGGACATTATACAATGTTGTGGGGACCAGTGTGGGTAACTATTGAGCTCATGGACGTAAAGGACAGATTCAAAGTATACTTGGCCGACATTGAAGACCCACACATATTACGGTTGGACTACTTACTACCCAGGAAATGTGTAGTTAACTTTGATAAAATGACGTTTGGGAACAACAAAGGCCAAATTCCGCTAAGTGTTGCTGCATCTGTTGATTTGCATGTCATAACACTTAAGTCAGCTACAATACCCCCTATGTCATAGAAGATAATTTCGGGTAGAATAAAAAACATCCCCAAGGAAGCCCGATGTTGTGGAAGCAGTGGAAGACCCATCCAGGACAGCAGATGTGAGGATTGTAAGGCCAGTTGTGGCAGGTCATCAAGTAGTACCCATAAGAGTGGCTAATTTCTCTAAATGTGAGCAGACACTTAAGGAAGGGACATTGTTGGGTGTGTGCCAGGAAGAGCTAGTTAGTATTAAGGCAAAAAATAAAACCATAAAGAAAGGACATCCTCTCCCAGAACATTCAACTGACCTCTATAAGAAAAGCATAATCCATCTGTCATCTTCACAGGCTCTTCAGGTTAGAGAACTTTTGGCGAATCGTGCAGACGTCTTTTCAAAAGGAGATCATGACCTCAGCTGCACAGACCTTGTGGAGCACAGAATAAACACAGGCAATCACCATCCAATAAAGATCCCTCCAAGGAGAATAGCTCCGGCAAAGCAACAAGAGATGGAGAAGGTCATGGATGCCTAATTAAGGAAGGGGTAGTTGAGAAATCAGATAGTCAGCTCCTGGTCAGCTCCCAACGTGTTAGTCCAGAAGAAGGATGGGACCAAACGTTGCTGTGTGGACTTCAGGGCTCTTAACAATATAACTGAAAAAGGCCTCATACCCACTGCCAAGAATTG